TTTTATTCAACCAAAACGAGATAACAATATCGACAGAAAAATTTCGTTCATCTATGAACAGCGAAAATACTATGGCTTCTGTACAATTTCAGTAATGAAGCTCCACTATACTCAAAAAACTATTCTGTATGTGGCTCTGGTAGCTTTCTCTTCTGAAAATGAAGGAAAATGAATGTAAGTGAAGAAGTGAGGACAAAATATTATTAATTGAATGAATTTTGATATCTCAGTGACTACTGTAGCTCAAATTTACTGCTTTTGTCAGTATCAACAGATACAATTATAAACTAGCATAGCATGCTGCTGGCTCAAATGAGAGGACATAGCGGCAGAGATCATCCTAATCCCCGCTCTTGGTTCAAACAAAGCAGTCAATAAAGCAATGAAGTAAAGCTAAAGAGAAAAGACTGGAATTTTCAAAAAGCGCACAACTTTCTAAAGGGGATTTCTGCAGCAGAAAGAAGCAGTGCTGATAGAAACCTTATGGCAGAGAACTAGTAATAACGGCCAAGTTCTTAGATAACAATTGTCTGGTAAAGCTACAGAATTGAAGCTCTTAAAATTCTGTATCATGCGATAAAATAGAAACCAAAGCTGATTCTCAAGTGTACTGGGAGAATGAGCGCTTGTATTAGGTGATTATACTTATCAAAATTCTTCAACATATTTTTCATTTAAGACTCTAGTGGCAAACAACTTCGAAAAACTGCAAAGATTAGAGCCCTTAATTCAAACAAGCTGTTCTCAAAGCCCTTCCTATGATAACTACATTGGTTGATATTTGTATTTTTGCGGAAATTCAGTGATATAAGTAAAAGTGGGAAAAAACGTGCCTGTACTGTGTCTCCTGCGTCAGTCACAATTGCCTCTGCGCTGGATTTTCTTGAGGACGGTTTCTTTCTGGTCATCTCATTCGAATTTGCACGATTAATAGGATCGAAAGCTTCTGGAGTAAGCGGTCGTCAAAATGAAGCACTATCAACAGACCGCAAATAGAATGATGTCAGATACAGTCGGGGAAACATGATTCGCAGGTTTCATCTGATATGTTCATGTCCGTAACCTAACAGGGACATGTTTGACAAGTTTAACCT